AGCAATAGACCGGTGGGAACTCTTCCTAGTGATACTGAAGCACCAAGGAGAGAGGGAAAGGAATTTTGTAAGGCTCTCCATTTGAGAAATGGAAGAGAGGTTGAACAACCAGAGCATGTTATTAGGCCTTCTACTTTGAGGAAGTTGGCAGGAAAAAATGTTCAACCAATTGAAGAAGAGGAAGATCCTAATGTAATTGAAGTGCAAGATTCAGAAAACAACAAGGAGCAAGGTGATTTGGGAAAAACAGAAAAATCAGCACCTAAATCAAAGGAGCCAGCCAAACCTATACAGTAAAATGAAGGCATTTCACCAAGATCAAGGGCAAGGCAGATTCCATTTCCACAAAGGCTTCAAAAATAGAACCAGGAGCAACACTTTAAGAGGTTCTTAGACATCCTTAAGCAACTCCAGATCAACATACCATTTGTGGAGGCCCTTCAACACATGCCAAGCTACATCAAATTCATGAAGGACATCCTATCAAGAAAGAGGAGAATAGAAGAGTTCGAAACAATGGCACTTACCAAAGAATGCAGCAACATTGTCTCTACAAAAGTACCTCCTAAAATGGAGATCCAGGTTCTTTTACTATTCCATGTGTTATAGGAGATAGGTATATTGGTAGAGCTTTATGTGATTTAGGCTCTAGTATTAATTTGATGCCTGCTTCTATTTTTAAGCAATTAGGAATAAAATCTACACCCACAACATTAACTCTCCAATTAGCTGATAGGTCTATTGTATACCCTGAAGGAAAAGTGGAAAATATTTTAGTAAAAATGGAAAAGTTGATTTTTCCAGCTGACTTCATTATCCTTGATTGTGAAGTTGATGAAAATATTCCTATTATAGTAGGAAGACCATTTTTAGCTACAGGGGGCGCAATGATAGTGTAACACCCTCTCTTGTAGGCCTCCAAGAGAGTTGTTTGCTAAACGGAATTAGAGTTCTTTAATAGTATTTTAGAGATTGAAAGAAAATCGCTTTTACATTGCCAATTAAAACTAAAGAGGGGATCTGGTTAATTACAAAAATCAGAGTACACAAAATTTCTTAAACTTATTAAAAATATAAATTTCCTGATAGACCTTGCTGTCTTTAAAAATTCGTATAAAATCCAGTTCAACGATTCAAAAATATATTCTTTGTAATATGGAAACTAGACATCTGGGGCTTCACGTTCATATAAAATAATAGTGATTTGGAGTTCGTTTTCCCCTCGAAACATAACTCGCAAAATAAGAGAGAAAACAGTGAAAATATCACAAACGTCCTGGCTGGTAAAATTCATAATAAATCGATATTTCATAATTTCTTTGCAAGGTTTATATATAATGAAACTAGACACCTGGGGTTACGCGTGCATATAAATTATAAGAAAATCGGAGGTCTGTAGCCCCAGTACGACAACTTACAAAGTGCTCGCAAAGACTTTTCAAAACTCAGCATTTAGATAACATGTCAAAATCCTTTTCGCAAACGTTTCAACATCTGTTTCCAAAATACTTGCTGGTCATAAAATCATAAAACAATAATAAAATCATAGTTCACAGTAATACAAGCTTCTCAATTTCATACAGTCATCCATAAAATATCACATCAATAGCAGCATGCCCAAACAGTAGAAGCCAACAGCAAATATCCAAGTCCTCAAAAGCTTTTACGTCTTCCTGCCATTTTGTACAAATAGCAGCCCCAAAGGGGTGAGAGAAAATCCCAGTAGTGTGGCAACAAAACCATAATGCAACAATATTAACTAGGCACAAAATCATAAATAGTCACTTCAAACATTTAATCATTTTCATCATATATCATAACGCGTATATAACGCCTTTTTTCCTTTACGCTCATAGCACCGTCGTGCGCGTAGCATCACAGTGGGTATTCCTAATGGCTCCCATGAAGGTGAATCCCACTGTGGAACCTATGCGGACTGAAGCCAAGTGTCCCCTCTTCTGGTACCAGGCATGCCTATATGATGCATGCTCAGTCACATGTCCTCAATACAAATATATATATGTTCAAGATGTCATGAATCAAGTATACATGCCATGTTATGCAATCGCACCCAACAGAAAAATGTATTATGATGTAAAATGCATGCATATATCATATCATCCTTTCATATTCTTACCATTGGCTCATCATCATCATAACATACATAGAACAAATGTGAGCAACACATCACAATTCCATACACTAGCCAATAGTCACATTAGGTAATACCGCCTACACATACCTCGTGTGCCACCATTATTTATTAAACAGCAGCAACAATCAGTCCATACTCAAAGGTTATTCGCACCTAAGCCAAAGTGCAATTAAATTAGAATTTTACTCATACTATCCAACAAGTCACAACAAACATGCCCTGCCTCCTAGTCCCTGTACTTATTCGGTTTACCAAGTCTCTTTTACTAAATCAAATTCTGATTGCATAATCATTTAATAACTCATTAACAACAAAAACTCAAGACTTTCAGTCTATACAAATTCGGTTTTCATCATTAAAATACTTTAGGGCTTTTATTCTTATAATTCTATCTTTCATATGCCATGTCCTGTCTTCCAAATTCCTAGTATTTTAATTAGGTTATCATGCTTCTTACACTATTAATTTTCTGTCCTACATTTTATTCCACTAATTGATGGTAAGTGACAAAATCCCAAACTTTCCTACATGCATCCAGATTCGGTCTTCCTCATTACCCGGTGTTTATGATTTATTTTAACAAAACTCTAATAATGTCATTTAGTCCCTGCTCATTGAGTTATACATGTTGTCTACACAAATATAAAACATGCACAACTAGATTATAATTCTGGTCCATGGGACATTCCTAAAGCATGATAAGAACTCTCTTCCAATTGTAAGGTGGCTCCTTAAACATGTAGGCAGAAAATTCATGATTGCCCAAAATGGTAGAAGCAAGGAGGGATATCGTGCAAAGAAAAGTGCATCTTCATGATACAACAGTGGTGACCGAACAAGAGGAAAGGAGAAGGACAAGGGAATACATCTTCCCTCCTATTGGAATACTCGGGTGTCCAAGACTTCTAGGGTGAAGTTTCCTATTTCCTACTATTGTTTCTCACTTCCAAGGGGTTTGAGTGCTTATGGTTAAGTTATTACAAAACAGAATCCATTTCCCTTCAAAACATAATTACTTCAGCCCAAAACATAACCACGAAGGGAATGGCAAAAATTCCATTTTCCCTTTAACAAGACCTACTCTCTCAACTTGACATGAGTTAATAGATTGGTTTGAATGCTGTCTATATGACTAAAAATATACATGCAAGGCTATATCATTATTTTCCAGCTACAAGGGCAGTCTAATAATCTAATGAATATATGCAAGTTCACAAAATTTAGCCTCTGGATTATGTGCCTCAACTCCTATGTCAGTTTTAAGGGACTGCATTAAGGAATAAATTGACAAAACATGATTTTCCTACATTACGTGCAGCTGCCACTTCGAATAACAGAGAGAATTGACAATATACATTTCTTAAAATATGCCTACAGCCGATCAGCTAGAATTACAGTAGGTCTTAGTTTTGGTTTTTTACCTTCTTGCTCACAACTAGGTCCCTTTTCTTAAAATGGTTGCAGAAGACAGTCACCAAGTCGATGAGCATCATCATCGCCTCCCATCATGCCAAGAAATTACAACCGAAATCAAACAAGGAACCACTCACTAATACCTCTCATGCGTTGAAGCCAGGGAACAAATAAGGTAGGAAGAGACTCACTTGCTCTAACGTGAAATGGAGAAACTTCAGAGTTAGAATAGGTTGGTTTGCTTTGCCAGGGATTAAGTTCACGGCAGCATGCCAGGGTAAAGGTTCGACCAATGCTTGACCGAGTGTATGCAGAAGGAGATTCAATTAAAGTCAATTCACATGCAAGGAGAAAGAGTTCAAGTGGAACCGATCAAAATGGTGAGGAGCAAGGCACTACCAGACATTACCTCACCTTCCCACACTTCTCGAAAACGCATATGTGGCTGCATTCAAGGGAAGCAGAAGTGATGATGGATGTTCAAATTTCCATCTGCATGCAGGGCAGTCTCTACCAAGGAAAGGAATAGCAGCGAACTAAATAAATGGAGGCACAACACCTCCTCTGATTGCAACTTGATCGGTTGATACAGGGAAGAAAAAGAGACTAAGGTGACATGAAGTTTTCTTGGTGTTCTTCTTCACTTAGGCTGCGGTTGTAAGGTGATGAAGGGGAAGAGAAAGGGGTTGGGTTTGTTTCTGTTTTGTAAGCTAAAGTCCAGTTTATGTTCTTCTACAACATCAGCGCCTAGGGTGAGTACAAGGGAAGTGTAAAGGCTGATTCCAATTGCCACAATTACCAGCAAACAACCAGACCCTGTCATCATTTGTGCGTACCAAGAGGGGAGAAAGAGTGGAAGAATCCTGCCCAATGCCATCACATGCAAACTGGTTGTTGCACCCTTAGAGGTTTGCATGTGCTACAGCTGTCTCACTTGGCTGATTCAATAAGCAATCAGAAATTATTTTACTACAACCCAAGCGCATGAGAGAAGGGAATAGGTGGGTGGGCTGACTTGGTTTCTTAAGAAGTGGGCTTGATAATAAAGTTTATGGCTAAAACAAAATTCTCCCCAACCATATGGGTCGTGACCTATTCATGGATGTGAGTCCAATTGATTCAAGTCCAACGCTTGTGTGGCTTTATGACCAGCCCATGAATGAGTGGGTTGCCATGTCTTTTAAAGAATTTTAATTCCTTCTATATGCTACCACTAATTTATTTTTTATATCTTTTAACTCAAATCTCACATGTCTAAAATAAATTCTCATCTATTATTATAATTCAAGTAAATTCCCTAACTCACAATAATCCCCTACCAAAAACCATAAAATCCAGAATTTTCCTAAGTATCCCTATTCCACATAGCAATTATATATTTTAATAATTATGTGGGATGTTACAGATAGATGTTAAAAAAAGAGAGTTAACAATGAGGGTAAATGATGACACTATGACCTTTAGTGTTTTTAAAGCCATGAAATATGTAGATGATGATGTTGATGATTGTTCTGCTATATCTGTAATTGATAATTTGGTTGCTGCCCATTTACAAGAAAATTTTGAAATAAATGACTCTGCATGTGATTCTGCCATTTTTGAATTTTATGAAAATAATGCATCTAATCATGATCATGCATGTGCATTGAAGTCTTATCCTACTAAGTTCTTTGGTAATAAACATTTTGAGTCCCTAGGACTTCATGAGAGAATCACCAAACCTCTTAAACCTTCCATTGTGGAACCACCTGAAGTGGAGTTGAAAGAACTCCCAACTCACCTTAAATATGCTTTTCTAGGAAGAGATAATACCCTCCCTGTAATTGTAGCTGCTGCCCTAAAAAATAATGAGGAAAATCAGCTCCTAAATGTGCTTAAAAATCACAAGAAAGCCATTGGTTGGACCATGGCTGATATTAGAGGCATTAGCCCTTCTTTTTGTATGCATAGGATAAGGCTAGTTGATGAAAATTCCAGTTCTATTGAGCCTCAAAGAAGGCTCAATCCAACCATGAAAGAAGTGGTAAAAAAGGAAGTGATTAAATGGTTGGATGCTGGTGTGGTATATCCCATTTGTGATAGTAGTTGGGTAAGTCCTTTGCACTGTGTCCCTAAAAAGGGAGGTATCACAGTTGTGCTCAATGAAAAAAATGAGCTTATTCCAACTAGAACCATAACCGGTTGGAGGATTTGTCAAGACTTTAGGAAATTAAATGCAGCCACTAAAAAAGACCATTTCCCCTTACCCTTCATAGATCAAATGCTTGACAAGCTTGCTGGCCAAGAATATTTTTGCTTCCTTGATGGGTATTCTGGTTATAACCAGATACCCTTAGCTCCAGAGGACCAGCATAAAACAACATTCACATGTCCATATGGCACATTTGCATTTAGGAGAATGTCTTTTGGGCTTTGTAATGCCCCTGCCACCTTTCAAAGGTGCATGACTGCCATTTTTAATGACATGATTGATGAGTATGTAGAAGTCTTCATGGATGACTTCACTGTATTTAGAGATTCATTTGAAAATTGCTTGCTGAATCTTTGTTAGCCATAAGTGCCTCAAGCACCCCTTGGTATGCTGATTTTGCCAATTACTTGGCTGCAGGTGTGATGCCTGATGATTTGAACACACATAAGAGAAAGAAATTTCTCCATGATGTGCAATTTCATTTTTGGGATGAACCTCATTTATTTAAAAAATGCGCAGATCAGATTTTGAGAAAATGTGTTCCAGAAATGGAGCAAAACCAAATTCTGCACAGCTGTCATAGCTCTCCATATGGAGGTCATTATGGTGGGGTGAGGACTGCTGCCAAGGTATTGGAATCTGGCTTTTATTGGCCAAGCATTTTTAAGGATGCATATACAATAGCTAGTAAATGTGATAGGTGTCAAAGGACTGGCAATATCACACGTAGGAATGGCCAACTTGGTATCAACGTGGTCACCAACAACCAAATAATCCAACGAGTCACAATCTGGTTTAATGGCAAACACATCATCAATAATCATATCTTACAATTTCATGTCAAATTGAACATGTTTTCTTTTTCGTTTAGCGTACTACAGGCTTCTCCTATAGTCCCCAAGCACAAAATGCCTTTACCATTTTTAAAACTGCAGTTGCAACTCTTTCCCAAAAATTCTAAGATTTAAATGTGTTAAACTATACATTTCAAGCTTTCCAACGACATATTCTATGTCTCGTTTGGAGTTGTATAACTCCGGTTATGTTTTTCGCAAAGTGACAGCTCTAAACTGAATTTCCAACAACCAAGACGCTACTTCAAACTAACACTGCGATCAAACCACTTATCCAATGGCTATGAAATTTTACAAGGTTGTAACCCTATATCTTAGCTTCACATAAGTCTAGACGACACTCAATTTGGAGCTATGTAGCTTCAGATATCAAATTTTTACTAAAATAGGTTCATTGATGTTTACATATCCGGATATGCCATATCCAGATATCATAGACCCAATATCCGGATATCCATATCCAAATATTTCACGACAGAATGCAGTTTTGTATTTTTGCGAAGATATCCTTTCAAGGTTCCATTTTTAACACTTACAGACGTTCAAACTACCATTTTTAAGCACATTTAAGCTAATGATCTTGATAGTTACTTATTCATCTCATTTAACATGCCAAAACTCAATCTTTAACATAGAAACTCAAGAACAAAGGTAGTGGTGCATACCCAATGGCTCAAAACAGAATTACTTATTCATCTCATTTAACATGCCAAAACTCAATCTTTAACATAGAAACTCAAGAACAAAGGTAGTGGTGCATACCCAATGGCTCAAAACAGAATAAAGGAAGTGCCTTGAAGCTCTTTACACCACCCAACAGCTCTGTCTCAACAAGGCCACAAATTTGGTTTACAAGCTAGGTCATTTCCTCCACAAAATGGATTCTTGAAGCACTAAATGCAAGGAAAATGCCTTTCACTCCCTCACACCAAAAGTCAGCTCACAAACCTTACAAAACAGTGGCTACAACTCACAAAGAAAGTGTCTTTCTCCCTCACAAGGCTTCCTCTCAAGTGTTTACAATGTGGAAGAGGAAAAATCAAGAGTAAAAAAGGTGTTTTGGGTATTTTTCTTGCAAGGAGAGCTAGGGAAACTATAGGAGAGTGTTTTGGTCAGCCATGAACAATGGAGAACACCTACATAGCTTGTAAAATCTGATATAGGGTTATGTGCATTTTCTATTTATAGATGCACTTAATTAATCCATTGGTATTAGTTCTAATAGTTTTGCTCTTCGTTTAACTCTGAAATTTCATGTTCTTAACCTAGACATTTTTCTAGAATTATCGTATTTTTACATTAATTTTTCGAGATACTTTTTTCGGTACGCACTTTCTACTATGAAAGAGCCGGTATTAGTTCTGATATCACCGCTTATTATTTTCATCTCAAATTTGATATTCATGACCTAGATATTATTCTAGGAATATTAATATTTTTATCACTATTTTTTGAGTTACTTCACTGTTATCCATTTACACCGTGAAATACCCGGTGTTTGCACTTTCGTTCTGAAAAGTGACTTAATATTAATTATCATGCTCTTTTCATATTTGTCTAAAGTTAATTATGGAATTATTTCTTAAATCATATTTAACTCGTTAATTTCCTAATTTAGCGGTGCGAGTTTTTACATTTATCTAATACACAATTTCAATTTCGAGGTCCCCAACCACATCAATCACACAACACATGCCTTAGGTCATCAAAATCCAATCTCAAAAAATTTATCCAATAATAAGTGGTGAAACTTACCAACAATCAAGGCCTAAGACTCCTCCACACAATACCCAAGCAATAGCTCAAGCAAACAACTCCAAGAACACCAACTTAATTACCCACTTGGTATTAACAGTTCAAACCAACAGTTCATGCCATATAACAATAAGTCTTAACCAAATATCATACCTTAATATTAGACCCACATTTCTAGTTAGTTAATCACTAACCCAAGTAAGTACTTATCATTTAATTAAGGCTTAATATACCTTAATACCACTTGAAACTTACTTGATTTCACATCACAAACATCACACAACCTTTAATTAAATCTAATAAACATATCATAATATTTAAATCATCATGGCCGAATTGCATCCCATCAAAATCATGCATTTTTATGCATTATTTTCTTTCAATTGTTTACTCAAATTGACATACCATTCAACCTAATTCATAATCACTTGTTATTAGGTTAGTTTCATGTCATACATAAACTTTACACAATACTTTGACTTACATTCTTTCACATACAATTTTTATTCACTTTATTAGTGTAGTTTTCTTACCACTATCATGTTCACAACTTTACATAATTTGGACTCAACTTCTATTCACTTTTATTTTTCTTTACATAGTCATATTGACACCTATGTAAATTCATTTACTTTCTTAACATCAAATCCAATTAAACTATGTTCAATCTTCATTCTTTTTACCAATTGAACATTACACAACATTTAATTATCAACTTACATAATTTTAACATATTAAACCCATGCAGGCCGAATTAATTATGTAATCTTTCTACATAATTAACCAACTTAATCACATTATAATTCACATTCATTTTTACTACACAATTCATTAAACAATCGAGTTCACTTACATGATCATTACTTGACATTACATTCTATACTTTTCCAATGACACTTATTTAATTTCTATGTCATCAATTTAATTTCATATAAATGAAAACCACTTCAAATCTTAATTAAACATACATTATGTACACTTTAATTAATTAAAAACAATTAATTTACAAACCTAGCTATTTTAATTTAATATAGCCGAATGGCTTTAATTAATAATTCAGAACTTTATTTTATATTTTCCAATTAACTTATCTTGAACCAAACATCATCAAATTATTCTAGAACCTTAATTTCCTTATTACATTTCATCAAACATATGATTCACACATGAAACCCTATGTGGCCGAATTGTATGTTGTGAAATTACATTATTCTTTAACTTGTTTTAAACAATTCAAGCATAGTTTCACATAAAATCAACATACGATCTCAAAACAACTTCAAACCACATCAAATATTCATGATCATCATAAACCCTAATCAAACTTTAACCTCATGAAAAATCATCTTCTAACCATCAAATTTAGAAATTAATACCTTGAATGGCTTCCTTGAATACAAAGCTTTCTTTTCCACCAATCAATTTCCAAAACCCTAACTTTCTCTCTCAAGATGAGTAGTGCCAATACTCTTTGGATGAGAGTTTCTCTCTCTACAAAGCTCTTCAAGAAGAAAGAAAAATAGATTCAAGCTCACAAGATCAAGCACTACAACTTTTGTGTAATGAGTTTTCTCCACAAACTACTTGAAATTCCAAGAACTCACACACACTCTCTCTAGGTGTATGCCACGACCATGGTGTGGAGGAAGAATAGCAAAAATTTCGTTGGACACTTATGATGAAAGTGGTGACCGTTTACACTTAGTAAAATTCACCAAAGTTACTTAAACTTTTACTTTACAACTTTACTTACTTGCTTGCTTTCCATTGGTTCTTTAACTTAACACTTGCTTTTTCATCTTCCTTTACAACATTCTAGATCCCTTCTAGGTGGCCAAAACTGAGTTGCTCCTTGGTGGACGACTAGGATGGCTTACTTGGCATCTTGAACACTTTAAGACTTTCAAACTTTACAACCATTAGTCCATTTGTTCAAGACTAGTCAATCTTGATTCTTATTGGTTAGTCAACACTTGACTTTGACCTTTAAGAATATAGAACATACAAGGTCACAAAGAATCAATCATACATCAAAAAACATGCAAAGAATTCACAAGGTTAAGTTATGTTACTAACTTAACAACTTTGCATTCAACTTTGACCTAAACCAACTTTCATTGGTTATTAATTTTCCTTACTTTGACCAATTTTTAGAAATTAACCTAGACATAGTTTGCTCAAGATAAGATCACTTTGAACCCATGAAATTAATCATAGAATTTAATTACATCTTCAAAATCAACCTTTGACTTAACCTTGGTCAATTACCAAAGTAATACTGACTTTTCACATAGTGACATCTATCTCCCCACATATATCTTATACTTATATTAGGATATTGTTAGACTTGTCTAGCATGAACTGCATTCTGAACTTGATTATCATGTCAATTACATGATTTACCGTTTACTGATTACTTGAATACGTGTTTAATTTTCACTTAAACACTTGATTAATTTACTGTCAATTATTTGACAGTGAGGGTTGTTATAATAGGCGGTCAAATACCAAATAAGAATATTTTTAAACACTCATATAAGAAGGAATATTATGTAAAGCTTCATGAGATACTCAACAAACAACAACAAAATTAACAGTCGCAAAGAACTATGAAATGTACATTAAGCTGATGCATAACATTTCCTTTTCCTTTTTTAATTTATTTTGTGTGGGTTAAGCATGACATCAGGAATCAAGAAAATGTAAGCATTGATGAAATGAAGATAAGACAACAGACATCATCTTCTTGAT